TCTGCCACTCCGACAGCAGAGCTGCCTCTTGAATCAAGGAGGTTTGTTGGCTCTCAGGGTCCTAAGGACGTGCTCCACTCCTGGCTCTTCTTTCTTGCTGTTAGTGAAAAGGCTGATTTTTATACCCAGCAGAATGGCAATAACAATCAGCCCTGTGAACAATCACACACAGCTGAATCATTGTAATCCAATCAGCATCTTCCCCCACCTTCTTACCCAGTTCTAGCACGAAAGCAAAGGTAACAATTTGGTGGGCATGATGAAGACTTTGGCTAGAAGAGCCATGCTAAAATTCATTGCTCTGCAAGGTCAGTAGGAGTTTCTGAGTGGTCTAAATAGTTAATGCGCTCAGTTCCCAACGGAGAGGCTGGAGGTTCAAGTAGTCAGGCAACAACTGTCTTGACTGATCAACTCTTGGGAGCATTCTCACCTGTTAACTTCCCTAATAAACTGTGTCACCGTGGGTGCTGTCTGAGTTCTCTGGGGCCACTGCAGTGAATTACTGAATCCAGTCTCTGAGGCGGAGGGCTACGGGAGAGATGGAGACGGTTGGTGTTGAAATAGGGTCAAAAGGCATCGTGGTGGAGGCCTGTCTGACCCGAGCCTCACAGAAACCAGCCTCAGGTGAAGCTGATAATCAGAAGAAAGGCATAGCAATGAATCTCCACCACTGGAACGCCACTGTACGGAAACCGATCTAGTGAGAATTAGTTTTACAGGCCAATTACTGCACAGGCCATGGGGGAGTTTAAGAAATCTGTCAGGACAACTGGAAATGAAATGAGACTTCTATGCTTTTATTGTTCCTTCGTAGATAGTGCCTATTATAAGGTATATTGTAAAATAGAGACTTTTATCCCCCCCCCCCATCCCCCCAAAGTCAGCTTTGGAAACAGTGGGCTGTAGATTTTTGGTTCACAGCAGACGGCTACTTTACAGTGATCTGCTGACCCCCAGCCCTCACCCCAATCTTCCAACTGCTGATTGTACCTGGGATCCTTGCTAGACGACAGGTCATTGATTTTGTTGTTTTCATGATGATTTCGCAGTTGGTCCTGAAGCCGAGACTTCAGTAGGAGAAATGTGATGACAGCCTGTCATCGGGACTGTCAGGGCCGCCATACATCTCAGACTCGTGTAATTTGACTGCATCTCTTCATTTCTGTAGAGTCTGGGACAAAGTCGTAAGTGGATCCTGTAAGATCCTCGTGTTTGTAGCAGTGGAGATTTTGTTGACCTTCAAGATAAAAGTAATGGCCCTGCACAGTGCTGAAAAGATCACTGAGTTCCTGAAAAACGTAAGTGTCAGGAATGGTTGGTTTGATTTGATTTGTTGTACAATCTAGACGTGAAGCCAGGTGGACAGCCACATTTCCCTCTGGTATTGATTCTTTCCAGCAAGTGATGCGTCTATTTTTAGATGAAAGAAACATTCCACCCCCTCCCCCGAAACTGGATCTAAAGTTAGTCTGGGGAGCTGGGCTAAGCCTCGGCTGCTAACTGCGTGGTCAGTGGTTCAGACCCACCAACCTCGAGAAAGGTGGCTTTCTGCTCTGCAGATCCGACCGCGCAGCTCGCTGCCCCACAGGTTGCTGGGTCAAACTCAGCAACCCAGCCCCGGAAGTGGGTTGGGGTTGTGGAGTGGTGGTGGTCGTCTGTGCTTTTTGCCTGGGGGGTGGTCTTGGCAGTGAGACCAATGGACTGCCCGGGAACCTGCTGAGACAAGGGGGACGGGGGACCTCTCACCTTAGGAGTCAAGATTTTTGTTCATGAAAAGGAGTCCCGAGGCCTACAGAGACTTTGTAAAGCCCGCTCGTTCCTGCTTC